TTTTATACGTTCAATCGAAATTTTGTTCACTTAGGACAAAAGACTTCTTTTTTTTTCAAAATACTCAATGACCTTTCGTTATTTTAAGGTTTTTTGGGTTTCCGGTTACGTCAATGGATAGAGCATGTAAAAACTAAGGTTCAATCTCTGATCCGTTTTTTGATAGCTCCTTTTGTTTTTGCGCTTAAATCGTTTCTTTATGTTAAATTAGGTCGTAGGTCATGATTCAGGCACTTGAGTGGGAAAATTTTTTTCTCGAAGGTTACTTTGCTATTTTTCGATGTTTTGTCGATTGTCGATAGTACTTCACTGTTTGGTATCAGATGCTTAAATTTTTTTTATCGGGGCACGTGACCTCTCCTCGTCGTTTGCAATATATCATAGTATTTTGGTGTTGCGAAATGTGAGTTTTTTTTTGGTTTTGGCTTCATATAGTTATATTCGGTTTAGTGTTAAGATGGGTTTGGGATATTGAGAGTGAGGATTGGATATGCTGCGCTGCATCTGCAGTATCATGCAGAAGGATTTTGCTTCACGTATCGTATGAGATAGCTTAGTACTTCCAGTAATGGTGTGGTTTTTTTTATTCTGTTTTCGGATTGTTTCACAATCAATTGATGATATGATTACAGTTGCTTTCTAGAATTCGTAATTTATTTGAATGAATTAGTCTTATATAGTTTGTGGTTATGCATCTTGGAATAGACGCTTGCTGTTTCGGAATAAACATTAGATTGTTCTTTTATTGTTCGATGGAAGCTGATTTTCGTCACATTGTCAAAGTGTTAGGACATTTTCATTTTTGTTATATTGTTATTGATAAGTCTTCTAGACGTAGCTTGTGTCCTTGGATTACTGTTAGGCGTTTGAAAGCCTTTTGAGCTAAGACATTGAGTAAATAAATGATTTATTGGTGCAGTTCACAAAGTTCCTGTGAATTTACAGATATATGTCATGTTTCTGTTTTGTATATATACGTCTCCGTATGAAATCTGCTCTCCGTATATATATATATAGAGTTTGGGTTCCGGTCTGGACTGATAATATATTCATGAGAGGTTTATAGATCATGATATGATATGTTAGTATTATTCCTTTACGATTTTGACTCATACACATGTATATTTTTGTTGGAAGGATCTTCTTAAGTTAATATAGAAGTAGCATAATCATGATCGTCGATTGAAAAATGAGCTTTGACACAACACTGCAGATATCAAAGACCATTCGGTAGCATATATTGATGTTCACAGAGATAGATACAAAGAGGAAATCTTTTCAGTTTTGCAATACATATATATATATACCTCGCAATAACATCTGACAATCTGTATAGAATAGATCCAACTCAGGATTACTAAATACGAGTTTGGTTGCGCCCAGAATTACATCACATTGACTTGTCGCTGTAACTAAGTTCAACAAGAGCGTTTCACTTATACATCATACATTTTACTTGCACAAACAACTACATACTCGAGCGCCAACATCGCTGCTGTGGGCGCCACGAAAGGGAGTGGCACGGGGTACAACTTTTCACCATTCTCGAACATTCGCAAACACCTACGCACAACCTTCCTGCTGTGGATGCCGCAGAAGGAGTTTCCATAGGAGGTATTTAGGAAGGAATACTTAGAGTACTAGAGAAGGATACAAGCCTCGGGCCTGGCATCCCGTCTTCAAAAATTAATCCAAGGAAACATCACTTAGAACAAATCAATGCAGCAGTGAAGCATGTGCCGAAAAGTATTCCGTGTGAGACGGAAGGAACACATAAGACATCATATATGTACCCGCACATAATCGCTCCAAGTGTGGGCGTGACGAAGGGAGTTTCATGTGACACAAAAAACACGTCATCCGAACCATTTAAAGTTTCGATAAAACTTTCATACAACTTTCACGTTAATTACTTCATCAGGCTCCCCTATGTTTTAGATATAATCTGAAAAAGATTTTAGGGAATACGAAGCTTTTGGTGAAGCTTCTGGAAATTTGTCTTGTCATGAAACTCCAGCTCTTGAAAACATACGATCCACAGTGCATAGTCAGGTACGAAATGAACAGCGTAATGCATTGAATTTAATCTCTTAACATCTATATAATGAGGACCACCTCTGAATCGGAACAAGGCTTTTGGGGGGATCCTAGATGTCGCTAGTATCCGGTGACCACTACCCATTCACCGATTTCTTTCTCAGAAATCATTTCAATATATATAGCCTAATCGATACACATAGTTATGTGATATTCGTATCACATGGAATTCTACTACAATCGTTTGTAGCCTAAACCAGACGATGAGACTTAAAGTCAAGTCAACATTCGTTCTGGTAATCAATATCACCACTGTTGGTGAATTAGTTTTTTATATTTTTATGTCGAATGCCATGAAAGATCCATCCTAATACTCTATACAACTATACCCACTTATGAGACTTTCGAGAGAAGGTGACACCAGTCCTAACTCTCCCTACACTAATTTTATAAGATCACTATTATACAAGCTCAGAGTATATCTATCCATAGTCGAAAATTAAGCAACCATCACACTCACGAATGTACGGTCAATTGTAGCTTCATCTTTTTGAGTTTTTATTTTCAAAATGAAAGTATCTAAAGGCAGCATCAACATAATCATCTCCTACTCGCACACCATCGCACCAAGTGTGGGTGCCACGAAAGGAGTTTCTTAACTAGAAAAGAACATCCTATTTGCAATATAAGCATTAAAAGGCTCTCTCATAAAATCTGACATTAAATAAAATCTTAAATCCGACAACAAAAACCATAATCTTAAAAGACACGCAATACCATTTCCATGCAACTATTTGAAATTTCAATAAATACTAAACTCAGAGACCCAGTTGATTCAATCACTTGAACAACAATTGCAAAAAGATCTACCTCATAAAATATATCATATAATTCTATTGTATAAAAGTTATCCCATACTACCCAATCAGTCTTTCCTAAAGAGCAAAACCCTATCATGTAATGCTATGAATTTAATCTTTATATTTATCGTTATTTGGAGATAAGTATGATATTATTTTTAAGTTCTTCAAATTGGAGAGTTACATATATATGTACTAATAGATTTTAAACATGCCCGTAGAGTCCCTCTGCTCGAAATCTACAAATTTCTTAATAATAATTTAATATTGTTATTTGGATTTTAGTACGTCTGGTGTCTTTGACTTCTTCAATATTGAAGAGTTTTAGACTTATATATGTACTAATAGATTGTAAACATGCCTGATGAGTCCCTTAAGCAAGGACGAAAAGTCGTGTGATGCTCTCAATCTAAAAATCTTCTATAATTAAATAGAATTGATTTGATTTTCGAATCATTTCTTTTTATTTTCATCAACACACCCATATAGCTGGAGAATCTCTTTCAAATTATTGGAAGTTTTAAATAATTTTATAACTTTCTAATAATTTATTATTATTATGTGTACTACTAGATTGGAAGTTATTCGTAACTCCTGACTTGAATTATACATAGTAGTAGGAGAAAAATTATATATTTTCTATCAAATACTAGGCAATTGATAATGACTATATTAGTTATAGTCGAAACCGATCTTGCCAACTTTATTTTAAAAAAGAATTGATTTGATTTTGGAATCATTTCTTTTTATTTTCATCAACACACCCATCTCGTTCTTTATGGTCAGTATAGAGGCCGTTGACTTGGTTAATGAAAGGCGAATGTCAAAACCCTTACTGTGCAATTTTCGCTGGTACTTCGCCTATAAATACTCGAGTTTTTTCGACAAAGATTTTACAATCTACCAATGAGGGTAGATAGGGTGTAGTCTACCACTGAGGGTAGATATCGAGTAATCTACCAAGGAGGGTAGAAGCCGAGTAATCTACCAAAGAGGGTAGAAGCAGAGTAATCTACCGACGAGGGTAGAAGTAGAGGAATCTACCACTGTGAGTAGAAGTAGAGTAATCTACCACTGAGTGAAGAAATGGAGGAATCCACCACTGAGGGTAGAAATGGAGGAATCTACCGAAGAGGGTAGATACGGACGAATCTACCAAAGAGGGTAGAAGTAGAGGAATCTACCAATGAGGGTAAAACCGGAGTTATCTACCAACGAGGATAGAAGTGTAGTTATCTACCAACGAGGGTAGAAGTAGAGGAATCTACCAATGAGGGTAGAACTGGAGTAATTTACCAATGAGGATAGAACCGGAGTAATTTACCAATGAGGGTAGAACCGGAGCAATCTACCAATGAGGGTAGAAATGTGTTAATCTACCAAGGAGGGTAGAAGTGGAGTAGTCTACCAATAGAGGTAGAAATGGAGTTGTCTACCACGGAGGGTAGAAGGGGAGTAGCCTACCAAGGAAGGTAGGAGTAGAGGAGTCTACCAAGAAGGGTAGATATGGAGTAATCTACCAAAGAGGATAGAAATGGAGTATTCTACCAAAGAGAGTAGAACTGGAGTAGTCTACTGATGAAGGTAGAAATAG